CTCCCCAGAGTGAGCGAGAGGCACCAGCTTCCCCACGATGCCCCCGGGCCCCGAGGGACACCCAGCCCAGCACATCCATGTGACTGGAGCGACGGTGGGGACAAGGGCTGGAGCTGTAGGGACGACTCGACCGTTTCCTCGCTGTGCGTTTCTGGAAGATCGTGGCCTCCGATGGCTTCCACATTCCATTCTCAGAAGGTGACCTTACAGCCAAGGTTGCACGTCACCTTCAGCAAAGCTGAACACCTATTGTGTCAGGTAAAACCCCGAGGCCCAAAGAGAGAAAGGAGAAAAGGGAACACGGAGTGCATGTGGTTATTCTTAGAGAAAGTCCCGTTGCCGCCCTTGGATTCGGAGGTTCGGCAGGACTCGCAGAAGTCCGCAAAGAAGTGCGCCCGTGGCCCTGACTTCATACAACAGAAGCCAGAGGGGGCAATCGGCCCCACATAGAGGGGCTTGGCAGAGCCCGAGACAGGGGACGCGTGGGCTTACAGTTGTCATATCTCCATGGACATGCGGAGGGTGGGCAGGTGTCCCAACAGCCTCCTGCGGCCACGCACGCAAAGGATAGCAAAATGCGCCCTGAGCCGTCAGCCTGCACTCGGGGACACGTGCTTGTGCACACGGATGCTGGACGGGAGGGGGTCACGCCCCAGGTCAGCTCTCCAGGAGCGCGGACAAGCCGAGGCTTCCACTGACCGCGGACAGGGGTCCCGACTGTATGGAATGAGCCCGCATCACAGGAAGGGGGCGGGCGCTGAGCAGAAAAGGGAAGTGTCGGCTGAAATGCCCCTGCAGTGCAATCACGGTCCTCACTTTCTGACACGGCCCAGAGCCGCCTGACACAGCGGCCAGATGGCAGCGCGCCGGGAAACAGAGAGAGAAAGCAGGTGGCCAGCGCGGAGGCTGGAGCCCTGGGGTAAGGCGGGTTCCTTGCCTGTCTGAGTCTCCGATGCGCCTTGTCACCGTGGTACCTGACACCGTGGTCCTGCCGCTGACACTGGCCGTCAGGGAGCACCTGAGGGGGAGGAATGGGAAAATCCGGATGGGGGGCCCCCGCGCAGAGGGGGGGGGAATTCCAACAGCGCGTGGGTGCGGTGTCGGAGGGTCTGAATTAGCCTCAGGGATGGATGAGCCCGCTTGCACCGGGACCGGGCTGTGCGTGGGGATCCCAGAAACCACTCGGGACTTACTCCGGAGGCTTGGATGCGCTCAGAAGTACCACGTACACACGGTCTTCCATACGGGCAACGGTGCTTCCCGGATCCTGGGGATACACGTTCCTGATGGTCGCTCACGTCAAAGCCCCCGGCAAGCAAGTGCAGATCTGCCGGCCGGCCTGGGTAGCAGGTGTCTCTGGGGACAATGACGTGGTGATGGAGCGCATCCGCGTCTGGTGACAACCGAGAGAAGACGGGAAAGTTGGGTAGGCAGTGGACGCAAAGGAGGGCAGTGCTATGTGGTCACCATTCATTGGAGACACGCAGCCCGGGCGGGTCCAGGTTGGCAGGAGAGACGTGAGTAGGTCGAGCAGTGGGCACGGGGTCCCCCTTTTGGGGGGTCGAGGACGCCCCGGCTCAGGTGGGGAGGATGCCTGAACGTTGCCGATGCGCGAAATACTGCGGAACCGTAGGCGTTGAAAGGGTGGATTTTATACCGTCTGCGTTTTTAAAAATCAAGGCAAAGATAAACTCAAGGAAGCACGAGATCCTACCCCCCTGCCCCGCCGGATGGCATTTTCCCATCCGGTGGAGTGAGGCTGGTAGGAGCTGCCCCCCAGGACGGGCGTGAGCAGGGAAACCAGGAACCCCGTGGGAGGTGCCTACGCTCACCACACCAGGCGCCTGAGACATCACGGCACCAATGACTTCACGCTTCACCGCAATGTCCTCCTCGGGGACTGTCGGCATCCTCGGCCAAGAGCCGCACAACGTGACTAACCATCCAGTCAGAAGAGCAGCCCTCCCGTGGGTCCCCTGCCCGCCACCCTTGGGTATGAAACACCCCAGTTGTTTGCTTTTGGGTTTTTCTTTTTTTTCCTTCATCCAGTTTTACAGAAGTTGATGGTTTTGCTCCATCACCATGAGCAAGAAGAAACAGGCAGGGGTCAGTGCAGAGGAAGCAGAATGGGGAACAGGTCCAGGCGGGGGCAAATTTCGGTGCAGTAATTCAGGGTGGCGGGTACACTGGGGCGGTGGGGCGGGCGTACATCCACAGGCACCTGCTGTGTGTGCAGCCCCCAAGCAGGTGGTATGGGAGGCTGGAAAAAGGAGGAGAAACGCGGATTCAAGACGTTTATGGAGGTGAATGGAAAACAAGCCTGGGAAGGCCTGGGTGGGGCAGGGTTCAGCTGGCAGACGGAGAAAGCCGGAAGGTCGCCATAGCTCTGGACTGCTAGGTGCGGGGGAGGCCGGGAAGTTGGGACAGGTCTGGTCCCCGCTTTCATTTCCTCTTTTATAGCAAGTGTGGTGCCCTGCAGGCAGGGTGGGCTCTGGGAGGTTGGGAGGCAGGAATTTGAGGCCGGGGGCAGCTCCCCAGGTGCACAGTGGCTCAGGTGTGCACCCCTGGCGTGTGGGGGAGCTGGCTGGATTCTGCACCGTTGGGCTCCAGCCGGAGAAAGTGGTGCACAGTAGGGGAGAAGGGGCTGAGGCATCTAGAAGAGTCCTCAATAGGCAGGCCGCCTGTCACTGCACAGAGTGAGTGGGAAAGGAGGCAGGCGGTGAGGAATGATCCCCCACAGCTCAGAGGTCTGTGGGGCAGGGAGCAGCGAGGCGGGGGCCTGTAGCTCCTACAGAGGGAGGAGCCCCTGGGTGGGGCTGGATGTGGGGGAGAGAGGAGCCCAGATGTGCTGAACTGGCCATGCGTGGGAGGGAGACAGGAGAGGGAGCTTAACGGGGCCCAGGGGAAGAGGAAGAGAGCCCATGAAGAGAGGGACCAGCTGGATGGAGGCAGCCAGAAAGCAGACACTGGACGAAATGGGAAAGGACTCGGTGAGAGAGAGGGACGGAGGCAGGAAAAAGGAGGGAAGAAAGAAGGGACAAAATGAAGGAAGGAAGGAATGAAGGACAGAAGGAGGGAGGGAGGGAGGAAGGCAAGGAGGGAGGAAGGGAAGAAGGAAGGAAAGAAGGGAGGGAGAGAGGGAAGGAAGGAAGGAAGGGGAAGAAGGGAAAGAAGGAAGGAAGGAAAGAAAGTAGAAAGGATGCAAGGAGGGAGGGAAGAGAAATGGGAAGGAAGAAAGGAAATTTGTGGCTATCTGTTCTGTCTGCACCCGGGGAGCTAATATACCAAGAGTAAAGAAGGAGTGTTTAGAAAAGATAGAAAACATAGACCATTAACACAAGGAAATTACAGAAAACACCATCATGTGTGGTAAGAGAGAGAGAGAGGAACCTCCAAAAAAAGATAAGGAGTTAAAAGGATGAGGTCATAGGGAACACAAAGGCAGGAAGAAACAGCAGAGGCAGTTAGTGGCTGAGAAGGAGAGAAATACTTAGAGACCTAAGACCCTCGTTACAACTGACAAGTGACAACAACAATCACCAAGGAACGAGCCCCAGCAAAAATACCACCAGGGAGATGGTGGGCAGACCACAAGACCCCACCCCAAACCCAAGCGTAGCATCAGGTGTTCTCTGTTGAGTGCAGCTTTATGTGACCAGATCCCTTTGCTTTTGTCCTTACGTGTTGAAAAAGTTTTTAATAGACTTTGTTTTTGTGTTTAAGAGCAGTTTTAGGTTTACAGAAACATTTAAGTCAAAATTAAGGGATTCCTATATATGTGCTTCCCCTTGGACCTAGTCTCCCCCATTATTAATATTTGGCATCAGTGCGGCACAGCTGTTATAATTGATGGACCAATATTGATACGTGATTATTGATTAAAGTCCACGGTTTACATTAGAGTAACTTAACTCTTGGTGTTGGACATTCTTTGAGTTTGGACAGATGTGTAACAACATGGATCCACCGTTATAGGATGATAACAGAGTAGTTTCACTGCCCTAAAAATCCTCTGTGCCCCACCTGCCCATCTGTCCCTCCCCCAACCCTGAAGACAGCTCACTTTTTTCTGTGTCCATACTTTTTCCTTTTCCAGAATGTCATAGAGTTGGAATCATACAGGACGTATCATTTTCAAGCTGCCTTCTTTCACTTAGTAAATTATTTAAGCTCCTCCATATCTCTCTGTGCACTTACCCCTTTTTATTTTCCTCTTTTATGTTTACACACCCCTTTCGTTAGTTGCAAAACTCAAGTTTTTAAAAAAAGAAGTTAAAAAAAAGAGAAACCTCAAAATATTGCTATTACCTCAATGGAAACCTGACCTATCATTTCTTTTTCTACTCGCCCCAAATCCATTCTAATTATTAAGACAGAATCAGAGTGTGTGTCAACTATACTCCTATTAAAAACATTTTGGAGGCACCTGGTGGCTCAGTCGGTTAAGCGTCCGACTTTAGCTCAGGTCATGATCTCACAGTCTGTGAGTTCGAGCCCCACGTCGGTCTCTGTGTTGACAGCTCAGAGCCTAGAGCCTGCTTTGGATTCTGTGTCTCCCTCTCTCTCTGTCCCTCCCCTGCTCGTGCTCTGTGTCTGTCTCTGCCTGTCAAAAATAAGCAGCAAAAAAATTTTTTTAGTTAAAAAATTTTTATTTTATTTATTTATTTTTTTTCAACGTTTTTTCATTTATTTTTGGGACAGAGAGAGACAGAGCATGAACGGGGGAGGGGCAGAGAGAGAGGGAGACACAGAATCGGAAACAGGCTCCAGGCTCCGAGCCATCAGCCCAGAGCCTGACGCGGGGCTCGAACTCACGGACCGCGAGATCGTGACCTGGCTGAAGCCGGACGCTTAACCGACTGCGCCACCCAGGCGCCCCTAGTTAAAAAATTTTTAATACAAATTAGAAAATTAAAATTGTATGAACCAAACAAGAGTCAGCACAATGAGAAAGTAATAGGAGTGAGTGTAATTTTCTCCCAAGTACAGTGACATGTCGGGTGTGGCTTCAAGACTCATCTGGACCATGAGTCAAGCCTCATCAGCATGGCGGACGTGTGAATTTGCAGGGTAGATTCGCGGGGCACTGGTAAATCTCCATCCACGCTGTGCGCGGAGATCATTTTGTAACCTGCCTCTCACAGGAAGCTGATTCTGGAGAAGAGAGAAGTCAGTGAGTGGGTTCCTGGTTTCTTGGTCATGCGGGCTCTCGAGTAGGTGGACGGCCCAGGCCATTCTCTGCAGGTGGAACCGGAATGCATTTCTTTGACAAATGAAGGCGTAGCCTGGGGAAGGGCTTGGGGAGCCTGCGTTCCACCCGGACCCCGGTCAGAGACGGTCCAGACGTGTCCGGGAGGCAGAGAATGTGGAGCCAGGACCTCACTCACAGTCCAGCAGCCTGGGAACGACCCTGACTCTCTGTCTCCACTGTTGTTTTGTGCGCAACATGGCCATCAAGTTGGTGCCCATCCTGGACTCAGCCCTGAGCCCTAGGGAGTGAGTGGATCTTGGTACCTGTGGTGGGCACAATAACATGCCCAGAGACGTGTCCATCCCGATGTCAGCATGGTGGACGTCGTAATAAGGGCCCCGCGGACGTCTATCTCCTCCACTAGATTACAGACGGGAATGATGCCAGAGCATGTAGTCAACTCACCACAGGGACACAGAGGACACAGGGTGGGCTGGAGCCCGTGTCCAGGCTGCAGGCCAAGCCCTCGGTTCTGGGGACCCCCTGAGACTGGTTGTAACCTGCAGTGACCCCAGGCAGACCAGAGGGCTGGCCATCAGCCTGGGGATGGTCCTGTGGTTTTCCCCCGGAGCATCCCCCTGGGGAATCCTGTCTGGGTCCTCCTGCCGAGACCCCTAGTGAGAGCTGATTTCCTCACAGTGTGACTGTCCCTCCTTGCAGGGCTTCCTCGTCCTCCCAGCCGCCCCCTGGGACCCTTGGCCACAACCATCCTGTTCTGTATGCTGCTGGACCCAGCGTTACCCCTGACTCAGGAGCACCAGGGTAAGGGCGTGAAGCTGTCTGACCCTTTTCTGCCCGCCTCATTCCGCGTCCTGTGTCCCTGGGGACACGTCCTGACACGTGAGGTCTCTGGGTCCTCCCGCACCTTACGCGCCTGCACAAAGTCTGTGCTGTCCAGCCTGGCCCCTGCCGTGTGCGTTGCACGTGATGCTGATGAGGTCTGCTCACTCCGGAGTGTCCTGGGTCCAGGGCTGTGCACAAGCTGGCTGGACGTGTTCTCTAAATGCATCCGTGTTGTCAGAGTTCTGTTGACCGTCAAAGACTTTCTCGGCTGGGTTATGTCCGGGATTTGGTCACTCACTGACAGCTTGCCTGCTTTCTGATACCACTTCTGCCTTAGGACCAACCGGAGGAAGCCCGATGCGCTGTCCTAATGTATCACAGGGGCGCCCCGCTTCTAGGGAGTCACGTGATCTCCCCCACACCCACAGCCTCTGCTTGGGGCACAACCGAATGGCCCCGCTTGTCCACTGTGAAACCTGCCCTCCCCTCTGTCCGCCCTTGAGTCTCTGACAAGTGCCGCCGATGGTGGCCAACTCCCTCACCGTGGCGAGCTTGCAGTAAAAATAGTCTCTGCTGGTTCTCACTTGGTTGGTCTTGGCTCACGTACACGGTAGGCGTCCTCACATGGAGAAAAGGCACGGAGATCCAGGCAGGAAGGGGAGATGGGAACGGGGCAGATTCTGAGGATGTGCCAATGCCCTGGGGCCACGTGGGGTGGGACGGGGAAGGGCACAGCATGTCCCAGCCTTGATCTTTGCTTACAAGATACGGGATGGGTCAGCGGGTGGGGAGTGACGATGGGAAAAGGTCAACTTCTGAATCCGGTGGCTACGTCTTTCAGATGTTCCAACCACGGAATGGGTCCCCAGTCTAAATATGAAGTTTGACCGAAGGACAATGGAACTGAGTTGGGACTGCAAAGAAAACACTACCTACCTCGAATGTGTGATGATCCACAAGGAGAAAGGAGAGATCAGAAAAAAGGTAAGATGATTTGATAAGTCATCTTGACAGTCATTTGAAAGTCATCTGGTATCCTTCATGAGGCTCTCTTCACGTTAGCAATAAGGCTACAACAGGTGGGAATGAACAGCATGGGTATGACGTTGGGACACATCATGGTTCTAGATGTACCAGGGAGATAAGGGCTGGCCCGTGTCCAAAAGGTGCCAGGGGGCCTGATTCCCTGGGGGACTTAGCAACTCCTTGGAAAATGTCTTACCCCAAAAGGAAAGGGAGGGCGGGGCTCCCCAGAAAGGATGCCCAGCTCAAAGCTCCTATGAGGTTAGACCTGTCACAGGCTGTAGGGTGGGACCCTCGGGGATGATCACCCACCGAAAGAGGGCGAAATGAGACAATCTGGTGGGATGCGGGACCCAGGGCCACAAGGGCAGATTCCGATCGGGAACCCGAATGTGCCCAGAATTTCCAGGGGGCACTTTCCGGGAGACGGAATGTCCAACAACAGTGATCAGGGGGAAGACATATGGCTTATTCTGTGATTTTCAGGCTTTGGTGTCCCGTCAGAGGGTGTTGCTTAGGGGAACCGCTGTCCTCCCAGCAGAAACTGCAGCCTTTTGCCCGGAGGATCCATCCAAACTCATCCACACGGCGGACTTAATCCCAAGAAAGACATAGCATTAGTCCCGAGTGTTTGATGAAAACAAGGTCACAAGGCTCACCAGATACAATGGTAACATGAAGCCTGTGACTGTATGAGGGGTTTGAGACAGGATAAGAAAACTCCCCCGCCTGGACCCCACTGAGCCAGAATCTGCATTTTAACCGGATCTCTGGTGACTGAGGGCCCCAGTGAAAGAAGGCCTCTGTTCCCGCCTTCTAAACAACACTATACACTGCAGGGTTGAGGTCCCACCTACGCGTTGACACGCCAACACCCACCCAGAGAGTGTGCATGGGTGGTGGTGACTTCACGGGGTCAGTGGATGAACAGACGACATCCAGATGAGAAGAAAAAATTTCCTAATGTGCTGACTGGTTGCATCTTTTTAGCCCAAGAACAAAGACTGTCACTGCAACTTTTCCCATGATTCTCTCCATGGGGGAGTCACGTTCGTGGTTAAAGTAAATAGCACCCAAGGACCGATTCCAGAAAAACTGGTCTACGCTAACCCAGGTAGGGAAAACATCACAGTGATCCTTCTGGACATCATTACCCTCAAGGCATGCCCAATTTTGTCTTTCTCGTCTGACTTTGCTCACTTAGCATACATAACACCTTCTTTTTGTAACTGAATACTACTCCATCGTGTGTATACATCACATCTTCTGTATCCATCCATTCAGCAACACCGTTTAGGCTGTGTCCACACGTTGGCTATTGCGAATCATAATGAATGATGATTCACATTATTGTGAATGTGTGCCGTAATGAACAAGGGGGTGTGTATACCTTTTGGGGATCCAGACTTCGTTTCCTTTGGGTATAGACCCAAAAGTAGGGATTGCTGGGCCATATGAGAGTTCTGCGGTGAATATTTAGAGAAACTTCCTAATTTTTCCACAGTGGCTGCATTCACTCACATTCCCACCAGCAGTGCACAGGGTTCCCTGTTTTCCACACCCTCGCCGGTATTTATCTCTCCTCTTTTTCATAAGAGCCATTTAGCGGGTGTGAGACGACAGCTCCTTGCGGCTTTGATTCGCATTTCTTTGATGATGAGTGATGTGGAGTATCTTCCCACGTAGCCGTTGGCCATCTGTGTATCTTCTTCTGAAAAATGTATATTCAGGTCCTTTGCCCTATTCAGGTTGTTTCAGTTTTGGGGGGTCTTTTGTTGTGTTTGTTTGTTTGTTTTCTTTTGTTGTTTTCTCCTTCTTCTCCTCCTCCTCCTTCTCCTCCTCCTCCTCCTTCTTCTCCTTCTCCTCCCAAACCCAGAGTCAAATGCTTAATGGACTGAGCCACCCAGGCGCCCCTTATCTGTGTGTTCTTAAATTTTCTTCATCAATGTCGGATAATATTCAGTATACACATCTTTCACCTTCTTGGTTCAGTTTATTCCTAAGTATTGTATTCCTTTTGTTGCTATCAGAACAAAGGGATTATTTCCTTTTTTAAATTTTTCTTATTTTTAAGTAATCTCTACACCCAATGTGGGGCTCAAACCCACAGTCCCAACATCAAGAGTCACATGCTCTACCAGGTGAGCCAGTCAGGCACCCTGGAATTATTTTCTTAATTCTCTTCCTAAACGGGTTGCCATTAGAGTATACAAATACTGCTGATTTTTGTATGCTGATTTTGTATCCTGCAACTTTATTACATTTATTTATTAACTATAATAAAAGTGTTTTTTGGGGCACCTGGGTGGCTCAGTTGGTTGAGCGGCAGACTTTGGCTCAGGTC